ATATACCGAACTAGACGGTAGGGAAAAAAATTATAATGTAAAAACTTGACGTTCATAAGCGGCTAAAATGTCCTACATGAATAAATGATTTTTGAATTTGAATTTGAATTTATTTCTGCACATAAATCATCTAAGATAGTAAGCATGTATTAATTAAAATAAGTGGATAATATCATATATTAATATAATATTATAGCGAATTTAATGTTGTAACTTCGAGAAGCGCGAAAAACACACTAGTTTACTTGTAAACCAATCACATCAATGAATAAGTATTTGTGGCGTATTCCATTCCACATCACACCTTCCTCGTTCCTGGTTTCCTGACGATGACGACTTCCCGCACAGTCTGCAGAAGCACCTTGAATTCGCTGCTCCTGCTGCTAATTTTGTTCTTTGTTTGCAAGCGGACCACTTCGGCTTGCGCGTCGTTTCAATTTTTTAATATATAAGTAAAACTTTATATTCAATAGTCGGCATACTGAAGGACCATTATATTGTAACATTGTTGAAAAGCACTGAATAAATATTATTTTCTCCCTTTCTTTCTTTCTTTCTTTCTTTCTATTCTCGCTTTCTCTCGAACTAAAAATTTTTCTGTATTGTTTTGTTATACATACGTTATTATACGTTCTTATTTATATATTTTATTTATGTATGTGTATGAGTCTTATATATAATATATCTCCTAACTTTCCCTTACCCAATAGGTACTTCTATCTCCCGGGTTGTCTGTAAGAGATTTCTTTGAGCAATAATCACGCCTTTTGTATGCATATTTTTATATTGTTCTTTTTTGTAATTATTTCTTTTTTTATATATATTTTTGTTATTTTTGTTTATATTTGTATATATTTATGTTATATATTAATGTATTATATAAATTTTTGTTCTGTTTATATTTTGTTGCATTTTGTTTATATTTATAATTTTGCACCGCCAACAATTATTCTCTGCACCACCTATGGTTGACTGGTAGAAAATGCCGCATGGTGTTAAGTCCGCCAAATGTACTATACTATATATCATATTGTGTGCATTAAAGTTAAATAAATAAATTATAGTAAAGAGGCATGATACCTTAGTAGTCCTAAATGCTAATATTTACATCAGGCAACACGTCATAAAATAATGTTCCTGGTATTCTTTATATTCATAGACAGTAGTAAGCATTTACTATCAAGTGGGTCATCGGATAGTTAGCCGTGCCAGTTACATAACATAACTAAATTTTTGGCGCTTATTAAAGGCTAATTCTGTTTGGCATTATATAATTACATAATATATAACTCTGTTTGTTTATTTTATAAGTTGTTCCCCCGAAGGGAAGTATATTACCAGAAAAAACAAAACTTCGTCCAACTTCGAAATCAACTATAATAGAAAGATAATCTCATTCTCGCACGCGACCTGATAGCATTATGTTGTATAGGTATATAATTATATTTCTAGCTGTGAGAAGGTTTTTTTAATGGATGATAAAGTTTTTTTTCGGACTACTCTAATTCTGTTGGCCACATCTGCCCTTTACAACTTCACCAGCTTACAGCAGATGGCACTCAAAACCCACGAAGCCCTTATGGTGCGGATGAAGGCCTACTCCCACCTGCCGAATACGACTTTAGTCTGAAGGCACCTCTAGGGCTTCGATCCTCCACTCAGATCATCGTACATAATTTCGATCTCCATTTTAATTGGACGGGAAATCGATCGATCGTAGGAGAGGGCTCCATTACTTTATAAGGCCTTTGAAGTATGGTTAACTGAAGTCGTATCCATCAGGTGGGAGTTGGCCTTCAGTTACTCCATAATTCCTTATGTTTCGCGGGTTTGGAGAGCCATCTGCGCTCGTGTCCTACCATTTAGTGAAGCTGTAAAAATCAGCCGCTGCTAGCATTAGAATAGTTCGAAAAAACTGACTGCTCTATCGGTACCAATACACTATCGCGGTAACAATGTCGAATAATAGGTTACATAGTCAAGTCAGGATACAGGTTACAGGATACCCTGTAAAGAAATGAACTTACGCAAAATAACACAATTCAATAAAATATATGTTATAATCATTTAAATTTAATACACATAATACGAAAGCTAAAAATTACTGTACTGCACTTAATATCTACCAGTAAACCATGAGTGTTGTAGAGAAAAAATATTGTCAGGAATTACGCAAGTAGCATGTGGTTATAACTCTTGTAATGCCGTAATAAGTATAAAGTTGCAGCGCGAACTCTACTCATTGTATTTTTATTCTTACGGTATACATTTAAGAGTCTGTTTTTAAATAACACTATATGAAATATCATATAACAGAAGTAACAATAGTGGCAAGAGGTTATAACTCTTGTAATACAGCGTAATAAGTTTCCAGTTGCACCGCGGCGTGTGCTTATAGCGCTTTGTCACGGAACCCTGTACTTTCCTATGTTGACTTGTAATACGACATAGAACATAATATTAAACGCTATACTATGTACTATGTTCCATGCTATTTATATATAATAATATAATAATAATAATCTCAGGACAATTCACACAGCGCCATCTAGACCCAAGTTAAGCTAGCTAAAGCTTGTGTTATGGGTACTAGATAACTGATACAAGTACATAGACATTTTTTTTTTCGTAAATACATACATATTATACATAGAAAACACCCAGACCGATACAAACAATCATACTCATGAATGCAATGTTTGTGCCGTGCGAGGAATCGAACCCGCGACAATCGGTCGTAAAGCGGTGTACTAGACCGCTAGACCACCGAGGTCCTCATATAACTCAAGTATTTGTTTGTAATTTCATATTAACAATATTTCACTAAATACATATGAAAGCAGGTACGGTACTTACATCAAAAGTATAATTTTAAATATTTTGTCTGTCTGTCTGTTTGTTCTTGCTAATTTCTATAAATAGCTGAACATATTTTGACGAGACTGTCACTCGCAAATAGCTAATGTAACTTAATCTACTTTTAGAAATTTTATTTATATTAATTCCACCCGAACGAAGTCGTCGGTAACAGCTAGTCTTATAAAAATGAGAATAAATTCACAGAAGTAGACTGATTCAGCTTCCAAACTCTTGAATACAAGCTCATTCGAAAATAATAGGTCCTGAGTTTCTCTTCTTAGCTCTAAAACCTATGAACTGACAGTAGATTTGACATATAGAGTCATATAAAGAGTTTACTAAATCTACATTAATTATATTTTGATCTGATTTGTTAATTTTTGCTCATGCGATTTATGTCACTTCACGTTCTTTAAAAAAATATTCCACTGATTATATTTTGGAAAGAGATATTTAAATTAAAATAAATTTATAATTATGTCTTTGCTTCATAGTCTCTAGATATCCACCATTTTGAAATCATAATTGATTATAGCGCGAGTGCACGCTTTTCTACTCGTTCTCTTTCTGTATCTGTACGAGTACTTGCATCTCTTTCCTTCGTGGGAACCACATTTGCACGTGAAAGAGTAAATAGAGAGGCAGCTAATAAAGTTAATGAAGCGACTTCAATAGTAAAAAAATGTGTAGGCAGTAATTCAAACGCGTTAAGAAGTTGTGATAGTTGAAAAACACTGACATGAAAAAGGCATTACGCAAAAAGTTATCTATGAGAAAATAAAACTTTATGTACAGAAAGTTAGGCTCTGATTTACGATGGAGCAGTAGGTAGATTTTAAAACTTTGTTTAGTATAATACCTAATAATTTATGAGAAAAGTGTACGTATTTTCTTATTGATAGATGTTCACTTTTTGTACTTATAAACTCGTTTGTCAGGGCTGATTATGGTGCTTGCTATGTGTATTGTTTTTCGGTTAGTGTATGAGTTTTCATCAGTTTAATTGTAGGATATATTTAAATAATCCCGAATAACGTGCACAATGTCATCTAGTCCCAAACTAAGTAGATTCTTGCGTCATGGTTACTAGAAAACTGATAGGTGTAATAATAATAATAATGCTTTTTTTTATACAACCACAAGATTACAACATTAAAAAGGAGCAGTACATAATAGTTGAAGTTAGTTAGCTAGGTTATCAAATGGCTGAAAGTTGCGTATTACAAAATGATGACTCTGATATCCTAAACTTATTATTACATGTACTATAGATATCAGTGTTCTCTTGTAATATGTACTGTATATTAGATTTGTTAGATCTAGATATTTAATAGTATAAGGATAAGAGGAATGACATCTTAGTCGTCTAGTATGGTAACCCATGAGGGGTATTACTGGTGTTACATGATAACGTGACGTCTATAATCCTATTCATATAGGCAATGGTTACCAGTTGACATCAGAAAAAAAGAAAGAAGGAAAGAAAGAAAGAAAAATATTTTATTCAGTGCAATGTAAAAAATACAATATAAACATCAGGTAGTATATCTACTTGTATACACTCATTATTTTAAAAAATAAGCAAATTTATGATTGATTGAATGATTTTTGAATTTGAATTTGGAGCTCCCTAACATCCCTGCTACGAAGTAAACAAAACAGAAATTAGAAGCTCAGCACTTTTTTTATTACGGCTTGAATTACTTTTTTTTTTAATTCTTGGGATCGGAAAGTAAACATTGTTACGGTGGTGGAAATAGTAAACAAATGTTATGGAAAAATATAAACAAATAGATTTTACTAACGAAAACTAGATATTTTGCCTTTTCTTCATTATACTTCGCCCAATTTACATAATATATTTTTTAATTACAGCCTATATGTTATTTATAATGTATAAGCTATATTACTGTAAAGCTCATCAAAATTCGTGCAATAGTTTTTGCCTGAAAGAGTAACAAACATCCATCCATCCATCCATCCATCCACCTATCCAAACTTAGTAAGATGCCATAAATCATAATAAACACTTGAAACTGTTAATAAAAATATGTTATCTTGACGTTTTATAACATCAATTTCGTAATGTAATATGTACCTTATTGTAACACTAATAAATTTTAAATTCACTATTGTTGCAGATTCTAAACAGGAACAGTGCAACAAGACCGTTGGTATATACGACGACGTGTCCTCACCGCCAGTTACTCCGGAAAACTTCGGACGACCGCTAACTTGTACTTATAGGTAAGATCATTTATAATAATAGTCCTTTTTTATTATGGGAAAGACAAACAAACTGACGGCTGATGGTAAGCGGTAACCATCGCCTATGTACATACATGAACAACACTACGGAGATACAACAATATGAGAGACTAGCTTTTGCCCGCGGCTTCGCTCGCGTTAAATTATTTATATATTAAAATCCTTTCTATGGGGATGTCTACGTCATAGTAGCTTTATATATGCAAAATCTCAGCCCGATCGTTTTAAAATTGACAAAGTTTCATACGAATTTTCATCCCCTATTTTATCCCCTTGGGGGTAGAATTAATAAAAATCCTTTCTTAGCGGATGCCTACGTCATAACAACTAATTGCATGCCAAATTTCAGCCCGATCCGTCCAGTGGTTTGGGCTGTGTTGATAGATCACTATGTCAGTCACCTTTGAGTTATATATATTTAGATGTGACACTCATGCGTTGCCAGTCCATAGATCTAAGATTTCATTCCTCTCATCCCATAATTTCACTGGCCAATCTGCACCCACAAACAACACAGCTTATAAAGCAATTATGCCGGTTAGTAAGACTGACGCCTCGGGCGAATGCAGATGAGAACCCGAGACCTCGACGACTAATTACGTGTACGAAAGGAACCACGTGGGGTTTTGGTGGGTGAGAATCCCAGTATCCGTCCGCACCCCTTCATAGAGGCCGGCAGATCTGAATAAATATTTCCACTCTAGTCCAATAATTTTAATTTTTGTGTCTAAACAACAACAGGTGAAAAAATGAAAAGGACCATTTTAGTGCAGATTTTTTTTTCTACTACTCTTATTTAAAATATTTTTCATATTTCTAACCGTTATCGAGTTATTTTGAAAAATGGCATTTCTCAACCCAATTATTAATTTTTTCATTGCTTTCTCTTCAACTTAAATCAAAGTTTCTTTCTGAATAGTATTATTCACGTATTTGCTCACGTGTTATTATTCTGGTGATATCATGTTTTAATTTATTTTTAATATTTTATTTATTTATTTGTTTTGAATAGGTTACATTATTCTTACAAATTAATTTACAGTTCCATATTCAGCTCCATTTTAAGCATGCAAATTTAAAAAAAAGGTAAGACTACTCGTAAAAAAAAGGTAAGACTGACTGTTGGTAACATCAGTCTTACCTTTTTTACGGGTACGAAGTAGACGCTTCCTTACAGCCAACTTCTGGTAAAATACTTTCATATTAATTTAGTATAAAGCTGATTATTTGTAAATACAAACAGACACTTTAATTTTATTAGTTTGTGTAGATTGAGGTATCCAAGCTGTTGTCTTTGTACAAAATTTATTACGTTGAAAGAACAACACACTGAAGTTAATTGTATGTTAGACTGATTTTTCTATAAATCATTATATATTATGTCATATTTGTTGCAGGTTTAGAGCATTTCGAGGGTCACCAAAAGATTGGATATTGAGAATACGCTTCAAAAAATTTAAAGTCGGCACATTAATAAATGGAACCACTTGCCATAAAGGATATTTACAGGTATATAATAAGTTAATATTAATAATTTCAATATTTCGTTTATCACCAATGTAAAAAAATATCTTGACATATTTTCCACATCATCATCAAATACAGTATTGATATTTGGCACGTGATGATGCGGCTCGAATGCTCAGATGGTAGGTGAGGTTGTCTTCAGCAGATTACGGGTTGGAGAAATGATAGATTTGCTTATAATCTTCAATTTAATGGGTAAATACTGTGATAAATTACAATTTTGGTGGAGTGAACAAAAGTACGTTAGATCGGTCGGTTGATTTTTTAGGTCTGTGTCGTTACGTAGCGAATTCAAAATTGGATGGGTGTGCGCTCCAATCAGAACGCTCCCTTTGTGTTGCGTTTTGTTGCTGCTTGTACGCGACAATATTTAAAAAAATACAATTTAATTACAGAGTTACTGTAATAAATAAAATTACATTGATTAATTAAATAAATTCATACACAATTTGCAATAATATATCAAAATATAGTAATGTTTTGGTATAGGTGTCTATTATGTAACATTAAAAAAGGATATTTTTCATAATATGATTTAATTTTGAACTAAACTAACTTGTAGGAGTAGTTTGACTTACATAAATAACTTACTGTATACTTTTATATTTAAAAATGATATATATCAAGTCTAGAGTTTGCCAACTGGATATTGTTTTCAACTATACCTATATATTTATAAACACTGTTATGTTTATATATATATTGGTTTTAATATTAGATCCAAGTATCTACACACTGAAGGCAATATTTAGTAGCCAAAAACCAGACTAACTATATATAAAAAGACATAATCTTGAAAGATGAAATACTATCTCAATTCAAGCGACTGCAAAAAAATAATATGATTGTTTATTTAATACATCTGGCAATAATAAATAATGTCTAACTGTGATTATATAAGTGTGTAAGGAAGTACCCAATTTATATTAAAAAAAATATATAAAAACAGTTGAGTAATAAAAAAACAAATTCTTGAAAGTTTAATAACAATCTGAAAAATAAGAGAATTGATAGAATGAAAATGATAGTTTATTGAATGCATCAGGAAATACGAAATAATGTTAAGATAAACAATACTTTACATAAACATTCTTATATATGTATATCAATCTAAATACATATAACTCAAAGGTGACTGACATAGTGATCTATCAATGCACAGCTAAAACCACTGGACGGATCGGGCTGAGACTTTGCATGCATGAATCTACTATGACGCTGGCATCCCCTAAGAAAGGATTTTGATAAATTCCAACCCTAAGGGGATAAATTAATGCAAGCGAACCCACGGGCAAAAGCTAGTAAAGTAATAATACTTAATTAATATTCAACATCATGCAAACGGACGAGGGGAGTCTCTCGATTGTTTACACAATCAATCATCATCAATCATTGATCCATCTGTAACCCAATTGTGTCGTTTTATTGCAATATCATTGTACTACCAGCGTTGACGTTCCATTTTATTATTGTGAAATATCTCACAGAAATAACGACGTAGCGTTTGAAATGAAACGAGTACTTATTATGAACATAACATTTTCCGCTTTCCACGGAATATAATTTGCTTTCTTTGAAACGGACAAGTCAATAAACGAAATTGGGCTTTACCCCAAGGTGCAGACAAATTTACGGGAAGATGATCTCTAAATGAATGACTAAAAAAACAAATAGCCGCAGAAATGTTTCGTCTTGCAGTGTTTTGAATAGTGATACAGTTATTTTTTTAAGAAGCTGGTTTTCAGCGATTTAATTAAAAAGTCTAATAAATTATTATTCGACTGGCGATTTATTTATTTGCTATTGAATTTATCAAGTATACTCAGGACAATTCAATCAGAAACAATATCTTAGGTAAATGTCGTGAAGGTTTTTAATAATAGTTTGTGTAAGTTTGTCTTTAAGCCTAGTACCTACTAATGTTATGTATCAATACAGTATCTAGTCGTAAATACGGAAGTAGTACCTTCTTAATTGAGTCAACGAACGGCTCAGCAATGGAACTAATTAATTTTTGAACTTCCTTGACTCAGTGGAAGTTGGAAACTCGGGCAGAAGCCAATTTGAACAACTAATTATTGGATCATTCATTTACGCTTACGTACCCCTCGAAGTTTTCGATTTTGAAATGAAATTTCAATGTAAAATCGTCGTGCACCAATCTCACAGCGGGGTAATTGGGAAATTTATTCGGACAAAGGAATTTTTAACGTTATTACAAATTAAACGGACAATTTCAGTTTGTTATTTTTATTGCTGACAAGTTGATTTATATGTTTTTGAGGAGATAAAGTAACAAATGTTAAAATATAAGGCGTAATTTTGTAACACTTTGACTTATGGCTTCGATGGTCATGCGGGTTAACACGACTTTACTTACGATGTTTGCGAGTTCAGTTCTCATTCGATTCATCAGTAAGATTGGTTGGATTACAAAAATAAATATATATTTAAGTACTTTAATAAGTTGTTAAGTATCCATAGTACAGCTTTGTATAGACATTGATACTAATAATAGTGCCATATTAATAACAATAATATTTCCACAATTAAAAATAGAGAGAAGGAAGTAAAAAAGTAAAAAAAGTATCCCTTACTTCACTAGAAATATTATACTATACAAATAATAGACAGCCTCGGTGGTCTAGTGGTTTAAAACACCGCCTTACTTCCGATAGTCACAGGTTCGATTCCTCGACACAAACATTTATATTCTTGAGTATAACTACTTGTATAGATCTAGGTGTTTTCTAAGTATATTATGTCTGTATCTAAAAAAATTATGTATTTGTATTAGTTGTTTAGTATCCATAACATAAAGTCTGCTTACCTTGGGACTAGATGGCGCAGTTTCAATTGTCCTGTGTTATTACTATTATTATTAGGTACTTTCATACTTCAAAATAAATTGAAATTATTCTACACTTACTAGATCTAAACAATATTAATAATAGTATTAGAATCATCACATTAATAAACTTTGTAATGCAACATTTAAAATACTAATCACCGACTTGATCAATGTTTTCAAAAAAACAATTAATTTTTTAATGTAACATCTAAAACTCATAATACTGACTGTCGAATCTGAAATTATTACGAAAAACAATTAATTTTTATAGCTATTAATCAAATTGTTTAGATCGTGGACGGCAACGCAAAAACAGATGTCACGAACAGAAAGGAGCCGGGCCTGTTCTGTGGGGAGATCGAACAACCGCAGACGTTTATATCGGAGACGAACTTCGTGAAGATCGTGTTCCACGCGGATAACTTCACAGACCAAACTTATTTCAGCTTCGATTCAAGGTTAGTGAGATGTACAGCTGATTATACTTCATCATTGTCCTCAACATTACTACATCTTCTGATGAATTCTTCATGTAATTATTATTGAACTTCACATACGACAAGGTACAACGAGATACGATCAAAAGACAAGACAATATATTAAGAATAACATAATAAACATATAAAAACATAATATGCCTCGTCTTCTAATGAATTCTTCAAGTAATTATGATTGAACTTCACATACATTTTCTTAATATAACGCCTTGTCTTTTCATGAATCCTTCAAGTAATTATTATTGAACTTCATGTATTTTTCTATGTTTATAATAACATATGCCCTATTTAACTAAAAACGAAGTATGTACGTGTTTAGACACACCCCCAACAAGAGCTTCGTTACTACATTTTCTTATTTTCGAATGAAACCGTCATGTAATTATGACTAGACTTCACGTACATTTTAATTATATTTTATTTCTTTACATTAAAATAACTAATGTAACTATAATCTACAAATAAACAGTTTTGAACGACAAAGCATGTAAAAATATGTCTCTCTATGTAATCGATTTTAGAATCTTTATTTGTATTTAATTTATTGACTGGATAATTCTCTGGATACTAAAAGTACGTTAATTAAAACTAACCCCATGTTATAATGTGTCTAATAGAGAAAATAATTTGATACATATGAAATATACTATTTAAGTAATACATCCTACTAGATGTAGACACAGCATGCATTGCTTAATTTTTACACATACGAAATGAAACTATACAGCAATAATATGTATTAATGAAGAAATACGGTACAGAAACTTGTTGTATTTCAAGTACAATTTATTATCTGTTTAATATTACTGACTGATGCACTGAATATATCAAATATGTGTCTGACATTATTGTAATTCATATTTCATTCTCACACATCTAAAACTGAGTTGTATTTACTATAATTAGTTCTACAATTGGGGAGATTAAAAGTTTTTCTCTTTGGCAGTCTTCTGGATGATCGTGGAACTGCTGGATAAATTCAATTTTAATATCGTTAGATCTAGGCTGAATATTGTCTTTTTTTACAGAGCAGAACAACAGTTTGAAGTTTATTTGCGCTACGGCCAACATCCAGAGTTATACCCGAATAGAAGAGGCGAAGTAATTGCTGGGTGAGTTAGTTGTCTCTATTTATTTATAAATATATTACTTATAATAAAAAATACATGATACATGACATGGGTTACTTTTTAATGCGTAAACGGGTTGTAAGGGTTCAAAGGGGAGATGAAAGTTTGTATGGTAGGATTGATATTTTTAAACCTGGAAGGTTGAAACTTATTTTTATTGGCTATTGATAGAATATAAATAAAGAAAAAGAGTTGTAAAGGGTTTAAAGGGGAGGTGAAGGGTTGCATGGAAGTATCGAGATTTTAATGGTTGACATTTATTTTTCAGGCTGTTTATTAAATATAAATAAATAACACATTCAAACAGACATACAAAGTTTGTAAAAATGTTACCTTTAAGGAATGATATAAAATTGGGGATGAAAGTTTTTTGAAGCTCCGTCATTTGTTTTCGTTGGTTATTTTGAGTTAGATTATTTAATATTTTTTCTTTACTTGGTCATGCGGACGAAGTCGCGGGCACAGCTAATATAAGTGTAGTATATATTCCTTGTATTGTAATCACATCGCACAAGATACTAAGCTTATACATTATATCTACATATACAATAATATTATATATATATATATATAATACATATGTATATAAACGTTACGTTTGGTAGCTTTGGGTCTTAATAATAACAATAAAAAAAAATCTCTATTCACAATTTTTTTTAACAAAAAAACAATTTGTTTCTATAACAATACTAGCTATGCCTGCGACTTCGTTCGCATGGTTATCAAAAACATTTCATACATAGTTTTTGAGTAACTTGGACCGTTTACGCAGCGCACGCAACGGAAGTCCTCTAATATGAATTATTTTCCCCGTTTTTGTAACAATTTTCACTGATGCTTCTTCGCTCCTATTGGTCGTAGCGTAATGTTATATAGCTAAAGTCTTCCTCGACAAATGTACTATCCAATACAAAAATATTTTTTCAATTGGAACCAGTAGTTCCTGAGATAAGCGTGTTCAAACAAATAAATAAACTCTTAAGCTTTATAACATTAGTATAGATAAGAGAATGGAACGGAATCTGTGCTAGGTAAACCTGTGTTATATTACAGTATATATTTTCTATTATAAATTATATGCAAAATTGTAAGACTTCAAAGGGAAGGTTCATGTACGTGATGAACATTTTCAACAAATCGCCTGGAAACGCTATTCGACATTGTCTGAATTGAGTTTTGGAGCGATCGTTTGAGGGTAACGGGCGTGGAGATACTGCAATTGGATTGGAATTTGATTGTAATCTTAAATATTGAATGTTCTTGTTTGACACTGTCACTGTTTTATTCTCTATAACCTATCTCTAAATTGTCTTGTTTACTTTGCGTTTACTAGTGTGTTCCAAATTGTAATAGTATAGCATGTTATAGCATTATATTTCATTTATATTTGTTTTAATACGTTACGATTTTATTACAACTGAGTTTCTTGCTCATTCTTCGGAACTCAGTTTACCTTGGAATTTTGGTGTACAAAAAGTTTATATTATTCACATAAATTCAGAAAAACGTATTTTCTGCATCTGTGTTAAAAAATCTACAGCTGAGTTTCTAGGAGATTCTTCAAAGCTCAGTTTAATTTGTAATTTTGATATGTTCTATTGTTCACAAAATATCAGACTAATATAAAATTCAGCATTTGATTGAGAAAATCTATAATATATAAATGTATAGCTCAGCAGATTCTTCGGAGTTCAGATTGGCTTTAAATTTTGATATGTAATAGTTTGTATTGTTCTCATACAGTAAGGATCATGTACAATTCTACATTGAATTGAGAATATCTATAGCTGAGTTTCTTGCCGTTTCTTCAAATCTCAGTATAACTTGCAATTTTGATGTGTGATTATTTATATTCCTCAAAATTAAAACTATATAATATTTAGCATTTGTTTTATATAAGACTATAGTTAAATTTCTTATAATTTCTCTGTAATTCCAAAACTAAGCAAACTTTTATAACCGAATACTAAACAAATTATATTTTTTTAAATATAATTTCCTTACAAATATTTTATATTTTAGAAAGCACTCCTACTCTCCGACCTATGCAAACAGTCATATGAATATATTTATATCGTGAAATATATTTCGCGACCATTGAAAGGCAATCTAGTACATTAAACCACACCACTAAGGTTGCTAAATGATATAAAGGTGACTAGTGAAATACAGAGATTCATTGGTCTCTTATTCAGCTAACCCTCTCTTTAATTCAAGTTGATTACTATACATAAGTCAAAGAGCACAATAATAGCTTACCGCGATTTATTCGCCATTTCGGTCACGTACGGTCCCAAGTGCTGCCCATTTGATAGCCAGAGAATGATGCTGGGTCGCCGGCGACATTTCGGGATAAGCCTCTTAAGTAATTGGTAAGTTTGTACTGATTTATTCGGCCGATGTGATGATTTGTTGCGATGACTTAGTTTCTTGATTGGGTGGGAAGATCTCTGTAACCTTAACGTCTGTACTTTGTTCTGTTTTAATGGCCAGGACTTAATATATGGATCAATTTGGTTCGAAGTACTCAGTTTAATCTACTAACACGTCTAAGAAAATAAATCTTGTCTTTGGTACGAGTATAATTCTCTGAAACACATTTTGATGGATTGAATTTATGACTATGTTTTTACATTTTCAAAGGAAAATGAGATCTTTAGCTATCTTTGTACGATGCATTCTTCCATGCCCGGTTATGAGCGCGCGCAATTTAGAGCGGGAAAACTAGCGCGCGCAATCGTAAGGGATTGCAATTTACTATTTTTTTTGTTCACTCTTTGCACGTGTAACCGCTTATGATACATATCACTTTCATTTGACGTTTGATTTCTTATTTCACATATTTTATTTGCCATAGACACGTTTAAGATTTATAAAGTAGCAATAACTCTATAATATTTTTTTTCTCTGTAGTCAGATGTCCGCCATTTTGCAATGATAATTATTAAAAATAGGCGCTAAAGCATGCACGATTGAAGAACGCGAGCAAGCTAGCGGTGCGCGGATTTCCTCGTTCATTGTCTACATTTACAGGCACATTCTTTCCTGCGTGAAAGTCTTATCGTGCGTAAAAGAGCGTAAGTGTATAAACGGCTAATAACTTATTACGTTGTTATACATTTGAAACGTAACGTAACCGGGTCGTCCGCTGGTCCTTGCGGACCGCAGGTGCGGGCCTCGAGCAGGGCTCTTTGCCCGGGCGTACTGCTGGGGTGAGCCACCCCAGCGTCGTTCGTTTATCGGCCGGCTTGTCAGCCGGCCGGAAGGCGCCTGCTTTTCTGTAGGCGCCTATAGGCGTGATGTGGTGGGAGGCATTTTTTACTCGCCGAGCCGGCTTAACGCCGCCACGTCACGCAAGCGACGTGATCACTCGGTGGAGAGTAGGTCGCGCGGGAGCGCGCGAGTGGCGTCCGGTGGGCGCGCGTGCAGCGGGGCTAGGTCGCGAAGGTGCGTTTCGCGCCCGCTGTCCGCGCGCGAGAACATCGCGCGCGTCAACCGGACGACGAACTGCTCCACCGATTCGACCTTGAGGTCGCGGGCGATCACGTCGTTGCGGACGTACCGTCCGGCATTAGTGCACAGACGGAGGGCGGCGTTTTGTTGGACCTGCAGTCTCCGCCGCTGTGAGGCCGAGCACAGTGCGTACCATGCGGGGGGCGGCGTATGTGAGCCGCGAACGAATGTAGGTTTTGTAGATCCCTACCTTCGTTCGCAGCTGCAGCCTGGATTGTAGGACCGGTCGCAGCATTGCGCGTGCGGCCTTGGCTTGGGTGGTGGCCCGGTCCACCTGCGCCGTCATGCGCAGCGACCGGTCTATTTCAACCCCTAGGTAACGCACTGTGCGTTCCCATTTAATGGGTTGGCCTCTGAATGTAACACTTGAAATTTTTATGAATAACTAGCAGAATCCCGCAGTGCTACCTGTATGAAAACCCGTAAAACGTATACAATAAAATAGATAATACAAGGACTGACCTTTACCTTGAAAAAAGAGATGGAGTATCAAGTAACACTAATAGTAGAGAAATGATACAAAATCCGCTTGAGGAGATGAATCTGTTTTATTTTTACTTTGACGTAATAGACAGATAGCCTTAAATAAACACATAGAATACTTATTATAGGAATTCCATCGTATGTAGTGCAACACATATATGGTGTACCTACTTGTATATAATTATATATAGGTATAATAGATATATGTACTGTAAGCATTAACCAAATTTACAAAAATCAATGTTTATATCTAATTGTCATATTTAGCTATAATATTAAACGTCAACAAGTCTATCATGGTATGGACATGTAATGCGTAGGAACGAGGATAATATTTTAAGAAAGGTGTTACATATGTATGTGGAATGGATGGTTATAAGGGCAGAGGAAGGCCGAAAAAGAGATGGATGGACTGTGTGAAAGATGATATGGTAAGAAAGGAAGTAAATAACGCGATGACTGCGAACAGGGATGAATGGAAGCGAAAAACATATTACGCCGACCACAAATAAATGGGATAAGGAAGACGCAGATGATGATGATGATGATGATTAAATGTCAACGAAGCAATTCCTTTTAGTTAATACTACTGTTAAATTAAGTTTCGACACTTAATGTATTGTTTTTTTAGTAATAATGTATTATATATAAGTTTTTTTAATGACTGTATGTGTCAAAATAAAGGGAAAAAAAACATAGTTGGAAGTTAAAATAAGTTGTTACAACTTTCCAAATGAGGGGTAGATTAAAAGAAAGATAACTATGACTGTACAAAAGTGCTTAAGTTTATTTGAATAAATTATTTTCTATTCTAAGTGTGTCTTTTTTATTTATGCAGATCATACTGTGAACGCGTCTTTCGAGATTGTCGACTGCAAACCTGCTACGTACAGTCAGCCGCATACCCCGGCGTATATCCAAGAAATCTACACTGCAGGTAAATAAATAATAGGAAAATAATAATGATAATAATACTCTTTATTATGCATAAAAGAAACAAATAATTACAAAAAGGAAAAAAAAGAAAGATATGCAAACACGGCGCTTAAAGCAATCTCTTACTTAGAAAAATATTTATTCATATAAGTCCTTCCGGTCACCTATGAACATCATAGTTTTTATATCAGCATTCCTACCATCTAGTTCGGCTAGCGACTTCAGTTAACTTTAGTTACGTATTTCTTTTAAATGAAATTAAAATATTATTGCCTATTTATTTTATTAATATGCCATCTAGTTCGGTTAGTAACTTAACTTACGTAACTAGTATTTCTATATTATAAAATGAAATGAAAAAAATAAGCACTGAAGTTTATTAAAAACATTTCAACCTTAAATATAATAAGCAGTTACCAAACTTTGTATAAAGTCTGCGTGAATGAGATAGACGACTCTTCTATTTCAGCAGCGAAATTGCATCTTACATTTTACAGTTGTATGATAACTTAGTGCTATATGGTAACAGTACCACAGATGCCACAAAAAACATTGATATTTTCAGTTAGATCAAATCAAATCAAATCAAAAGTCATTTATTCATATAAAACTAGCTTCTAGTCATGCTCATTAAAATGTCCAGACATGTGGCGGCGTGGTGGGCCGGGTCGTTGGGCTCCCTATGTGAGAAATATGGTTGAGCGCAGTGATGGCTGGCTCATCCGTCATACTCGTGAACGAGTACTGTTTGTCTGCTCTTACTTCTTACTGCTCTACTCTTCTTACACTACGACTGATTTAATCTTATTGTCTATTTATATTTGACCCTAATCAATTAGTGGTGGTTGGTAGTTTAGTATTCACCCGTTTCGACTTGTAAATTTAAACTTACAAGGATTATTTAAAAGAGCAACACACAAGTTTCTTGCTTGTTCTTCTTGTGATGAGACAACTTTCCGAACGAGCGGTAGATAAAAAAAAATTGTATGATTATTCAAAAGAGCTAAAATTAAGTTTATTTGAAAAAATGATTTTCTATTCTAATCTATTCTAAACATTTTAACCGCTTATGAACGTCGATTTTTTTTGTATTATATTGTTTATGTACAATATAATACAAAAAAATTTGACGTTCATATATAAGCGACGGTTACCATGTACCATCAGATAGACCGCGTTGAAATTCCAGTTATATAAAATGAATGGAATTATAAATATTATTGTAATATAGATATTATTATGATCATTTGGAAACAGTTAAATTTATGCAACTTAACAGATGATATCTCCATGAATAATAGCTCTGTTCAACGTATAAAAGAGCGGCCTAAAACTTAATTAGGCAATTTGTTTTCAAATATTGTACGAGCAAATTTAATCCCCTGGGCATAATACTTCAGTTTTCCTGTACTGAAAGTAAATCTATAACTTAAACATAATGGTCGCAATTCGAGAGGAATATCGATAAATTGGCTTAATTATAATATGAAATAACTTTTTAAGGCAATTATAAATTTTACAACCAGTGTTATGGTAGGCATATACATGTAAGTATGGTTTTATATATACGAAGACTAAAACACAGCTATATGAAGCAGATGAAGGGAAAAGTTGGAGTCGTGTCGTATTAACATCTAAAGAAAGTGATGGAAAATCGTGGTAAATGGCATGAGCTCCAGCGAGAATAGCGGTTTTTATGAATGAATGGAGGGTTTTAATAGTAGAACAATCGGCAAACGTTGTTTTATAATATAAACTAATATTACTATTAAAAAATAAAAGTTCGTGGTTGAAGGATTCATCATTCATATCATTACCTAGAATAAAACAATATGCTTAAATCTTTAAAACTATGCAACGGATTTTGAAGCGGTTTTTTTAGTAGTTAGAGTGATTCAAGGAAGATTTATATATACAATACATGTATATATAAACTGTACACCCGTGCGAAGCCAGGGCCGGTTGCTAGTTGCATATATTTTTTAATCCCATATTATAAAAAAACAAAAATTTTGTACAAATTATAAAAAGAATCGAGGGGTGGATCACATTTATTACTTAGAGGTAATAGATAACATCTTATTCTTAGAACTACCGAGTATATACATATATAACATTTTATCAAAATCCGATAAGCCGTTTCGGAATAATACGGTACCATGACACGAAAATTTTATATACTTAGATATAGAAGAAGATATACCTATATGATAGAAGATAAAATAATAAAATGGTCAGGGTAAACCTCTACCGTATCTGAATTTAATTTAGTTAGTTATGAGCATTATATTTACCAATTTTTTTAAATTCAAAATTTCACGGTTTTTCGATTGTTGACAGTTAACGATCTTTCTGACTACCCTACTTAGTCGTGAAGATATAAAGCTTTAATAAAGTTTCTCTACACAAAGATATCTGTTTCTTAGGACACAAGCCTTGAGCTTAGTGCAGGGATTGCTTGAGCATTTTATCCGTATTTGACGGCCTCGGTGGTCTAGCGGTTTAGCGCTTCACTTCTGATAGTTGCGGGTTCGATTCCTCATACGGTGCAAACATTTGTATTCATGAGTATGATTGTTTCTATCTGACTGGGTGTATGTGTATGTATATTATGAATGTAATTACAAAAAATATATAAGTATGTATATCAGTTGTATAGTACCCATAACAAAAGCTCGGCTTAACGTGGGACTAGATGGCGCTGTGTTAATTGTTCAGGGTTATTTATTTATTAATTAAAGTGAAAGTGTAGAAATAAAAAAAAAATTATTGAGTATTAAAGATTAAGACTATGTTTGTTTGCAGGTACCACTTGAATACGCGGTTGCCATACATAAAGCTGTACATAGAGAACGAAGAATTCAACATAGATGGACAGAGATGCGAGAATATTATGACTTGCCCAATGAGACCTATAACATCAGGTGAGTTCTAACCTTCTGTAGTTTCAGATTTTGCTAAATGTAAGAAGAAATGCCACTACTTATCCCATGTGGTTGTAGCATACTAATCCATGAACAAAATAAATATTTCTTTGGAAAGTACACACTTTATCCTGAGGAGATACCATCGCTCCTAAGAATACCCTTCAGTTCTTGTCCTTGACCACCTAGACAGCAAACTCTAAATAAATGCGAGCACAGTAAATCTCCACAGATCTATCTTTATGACTAAATTCATATTTAATCATAAATGTTACATTATGCAAATTATTTTGTTCTATTTTTTTTGTTTTAATTTTACTCAGGACAATTCACTCAGTGTCATCTATTCTCAAGTTAAGCATAGCTAACCTTTGGGGTACTAAATAGATACGTATATGTACTTATATACATTCTTTAGGTAAATACATACATATTATACATAGAAAAAAACACCCAAACAACATTATCGTATATTAAGTTTATACGAAAATCAATACTTAGGTACATACATTTAAGGTCCATCATTAAACTTAACGAAAATAAAATATAGTCGTAAAATCTCTTTTTTCATCGCATCGAACGTAATTTATTACGAGCATATCTCAAGTTTTATTCGCAGAAAGCTGAGCGCACAAATAATAACGTGTCATAATGCTTGCTTCAGAATATTATGTGCTTACCTTATTTTATTTTAGAGAAAGAAAATTCTTCTCTACCTTGTATTGTTACGACTGTAATCCCAGTTGAGGTAGTCAGTAGCATTATCCATTATCGACATCAGAATATTGTGTGCTTACCTTATTTTATTTAAGAGAAAGAAAATTCTTCTATACCTTGTATTGTTACGACTATAATCCCAATTGAGGTAGTCAGTTGCATTTCTATTACCTATTACCGACATCAGAATATTATGTGCTTACCTTATTTTATTTTAGAGAAAGAATATTCTTCTCTACCTTGTTTTCTTACGACTGTAATCCTAATTGCGGTAGTCAAAAGCATTATCCATTATCGACATCAGAATATTGTATGCTTACCTTATTTTATTTTAGAGAAATAAAATTCTTCTATACCTTGTATTGTTACGACTGTAACCTCAATCGAGGTAGTCAGTAGCAGTCCATTATCGACGTTGTAAACGTTGACCTCCACGTGGTTCCCCCTAGAAACCATCGTTATAAATTCTTGGTGAATTTGTCACGAAGGTCTAACTGACCTGACCTCATGCTCATCTTATCATCTTCGATGGTACCCCGCCAGCGTATACCGTTAGTGCAGGCTGGTGCACCATACCACTATCAAACATAAAAAAACTTAGAATTTAAATATTTCAGTTTTTCAATCTAAATATATATTAAAGATGGAATTTTCGATCCATGCCAGGAATCGAAAATTCCATCTTTAATATCTGTTAACGATTTTTCATTATGAGCCTAATATTTTTATGTATATGGTCTGAAATATCAAAGTACATGTAGACCTACTGTACTAGTCGAGACAAAATTAAACACCGAATTGCATATAAAACTAAGATTATATAGAAGACGTGCGTAACTTCTACCTATTTTGTATAAAGTCACTTTATTTTTTATGTAATTGAAATGGCACACCTGATGGTAAACGGTAGTCGTCGCTTATATAAATAAATAAATATTAAATAAATAAATATACATGATCAATATAAATAAATATACAAGAACATCACTACAGTCATCATGTTATCGTAATACCAATGACACCCGTGAAACCACTTCTGCCTATTCCAGAGTACTAAGATGTCATGCCTCTTATCTTGTAATTTCAGTGCCTAATCTATACCCTACAACCAAAACCTTTCGTTAATTAAGTTATTAGCCTAAGTATCTAGACTATATCAGTGTCCTTAACTCTGCTTAGTGGACTAGTTTCTATCATATTAATATATCTATATTTTTAAATTGTAGTTTAAAACAATCTATACTAATATATAAAGCTAAAGAGTTTGTTTGTTTCAATGCACTAATCTCAGGAACTACTGGTTTGAATAGAAAAATTCTTTTCGTGTTGTATAGTCCATTGGTCTATGAGGACTTTAAGCTATGTAATATTACGCTACGACCAATAGGAGCGGAGCTGCAATGAAAAATATTGCAAAAGGTGAAGAAATGAAACGCAGACGAAGATGCGCTGTTCAGTTAGTATTAATATAAAGTAATTTTTTTTTCCAAACCAGATTTCATTTAATTAAAAAGCGGATGAATTCCAGAGTTGAATTCGTTATACAAGTATAGGAGAGGATTGTCGTGTTGAGTTACACCTTTTTAATGTCGGTAAACTGAGCAAACATAAGACAACCCTTGTAATATAATCCCAAGTATAAAACGACTGTATGTCCCGGATATTAAATTCTTATCAAGTGTCAAAACGGGACCCTCGTCCACGCGCGTCGACCGAGAGCAAACATGTGTTTCTGTATTGAAAAAAATTACCTCGGTTGCCAGATGTTTATAACGCTCGGAGAGATAAATGGTTATTTGGATTATGTTTCTTATTTTTGTGACACGGTAGGTATTTTTAACCCTTTTGTACTTATTTTATTACAATTCTCTGGTGCAGACTGTCATATCGTATATATTAAAACACAAAATATACAATAAAATAAATTGTATAGAGTATATAAATTGTAAAATTCTTTACGTATGTCATCTATACTTTTATTTATATTAAGCAACTTCTATTTAAATACCATTTTGATTAATAGATTATATGATCGTTCAGTGAAATAAAAAACGATGCACTATAAACAGCTAACACTCAAATCCATAAATAAAAATCAATAATAAAAAGTATTAAAGAAATTCTTATATAGAATTGAAACTATAGAATTATTATTAACTAATGACTTGGCAGTATGGACCATGCTCTGCGCCTGCCCAAGTTTGATGAATGTTAAAATATAAATAAAAAAAAAATTACAACTACAGAATTCTTGTGTTCGAATTTTAATTTTGGCGCGCAAATATGGTAACAAAAATAGGCAGAATATATTGTATTCCTGTTAACCTTTTTAGAAAATTAGAAAATTAAAAATATAAGATAACCTATAAACATTGCGTAATCTTATAATGTGTGCTTTAGAAGATTAGGCATAAAAGTATCCCAGTAAATAATCAAAGGAAATATTACCGTATAATTTTATTGCGTCAGTAAATAATAATAATTTTAGAACCGACCCAAAAGAGTACGTTTTAAGCGGTTTTTGTTCTCACCTTGATACAATTTCAACTAGAGCTGTTTCTTCATGAGCGCCGGTTCATTTAAAAATTGGCCATTATAAATCCATTGTTTATGTAAAAACACTTAGGGCAGCTTAAGTGTTTGCGTTATTTTCCCTTATCGTGTTATAGGTGCACCTCAGTTTGTTTATAAACAATTTATTTTACCACAATTTGGGGGTTACCTTCATAAATTATTGTAATGTATGTATGTACATATAATATTAAACTACATGTATAATACTAGCTCGTTAAATTTCAATATATAAATTTTAATATAAAATATAGCTTTATATGTTATTCTGTAAAGTTTCATCCAAATCTGTTCAGTAGTTTTTGCGTGAAAGAGTAACAAACATCCATACTCACAAACTTTCGCGTTATGATATTATTAAGATTAAGCTACATATACATATAACATTAGAAATTTAAAAATGAGATTTTTGTTGCGTCTTGACATGTCAAAATGACTAAATTAATAGATTTGATTTTTTTTATATAGCTAGTGTGTGGTACCTTCATCATGAAGGGCATATATTATTTTTTTTATATGCTAGATACTTCCATAGATGAAACAGTATATTTTATTAGGACCTTGTACCTAAACGTTTCAATATCTCAAGTATTCCATGATAAAAAATATATTAAAATTTCATTCTACGAATACTGATGGATTTCTTTATAATCTCTAAGATTTCTTTATAAAAAAGTAAATAGTGTTTTTTTTCCATCGAGATTTCACTTGTGCTCATTTTGGCTGGTTTTTTTTTAATTCACTGTGAAGTAACGATACACGATAGTTTCAATTGGAAAGCGACCTATCTTTACCACTATACTTTCTAACAGTTTAGCACACGGCTTGCCTTCCCATGGTCGCGGGTTCGATTCTACGCATGGCGCAAACATTTGTATTTATGATTATGATTGTTTGTGTCCGTACGTATGTTTTTTTAAATATATTATGTATGTATTTACAACAAAAATCTAAATATTTGTATCAGTTATCTAGTACCTACACATAACACAAACTCTGCTTACCGTGGGACTAGATGGCGCTGTGTCCAGGGTTATTTATATATTTATTTATATCTTAATCAGGTTCAGAAAACTGCCCCTACGACTACATCAGGATATATGACGGCAAAGACGAGTCGGCATCTGTGATCGGGACGTTCTGCGGTATGGGTAAATTTCCATACTCCATCATCGGAACATCACAGGACCTGTTTGTGGAATTCGTCAGTTCACCAGCAGGTGAGGCAAATATATTGTATATAACTACTGTTTTACCTGTGAGTTTATCCGCGTGGCATTATACTTTTTTATTATTGAAATTTCTAAAAAAAGTAGGCTAAGTTACTCCTTATAATACGAGTGAAATTCTCTTCAAAATTGGTCCAGCCATTACAGAAATTAGCAAGAACAAACAGACAGACATACAAAAATATTTATAATATTTGTTTTGTTTAAGTACGGTAGGTATAATTTCAAATGCAGTTAGTGAAAAGCTGTTAATTTGAAATTACAAACGGAAAATTTAATTTAATTTATTTTTATACATTGTTATAATATTCCCTTTATGATATTATAAAATATTTTGTAATTATATACTCAATAAACCTCAAATAATTCTAGAATTTTCTATAAGATTTCTTAAAAAAAATCTTTCTTAGTAAAATAAACATATTTATCAAATAAATTAGAAATATATATATATTTTATGTATTTATTTCTAAGTAGGTAATAATTACATTTAATATTCATAGTTTCATAAAATCTTGTCTTAAATAAAAATACCATACTTTCCTATAGGACCACTTCTAAACACCGGTTTTCATTTCAACGTGGGCAACTGGCCTGGTCATGTGGAAGCACCAGGCTCTAAAGTCGGTACCTGCGACTGGCAACTTACTGCTGAATCTCTGAAGAAGTCAGGAGACACTGAGGGCATCTTCCTCTCGGTAGCTCATTGGTATCCACCGCACACTTCCTGCACATACCTGATGCAAGGATTCCCTGGTCAAGTTGTGAGACTATATTTCCCAAGGTAATGGCATATTCTGCGGAACCCTCAATGTTTTATAAGAATAAAAAACAAAGTTATTCCATTAACATTTATAAAGACACATATATGTTACCCACACTTCATCGCGTGGATTATAACGATTTTTTTATAAAAAGACATAAAATTTCTAAAATTAAAGTAGCGTAAGTAACTTCTTATAACATTAGCTATCTGTGAGTGAAAGTCATATCAAAATCGGTATAGTCATTTCAGAATTTAGCAGGGGCGAACTGAGCGACAGAGACAAAAATATTTCAAATTCTTTTGTTGATGCAAGTACCGTATACAATTTCATATGCATTTAATGAAAAGCTGACAAAGAGACAATTTTATTTATTTAATACAGATTTGAATGTTTATTTAAATATAATTTAATACATTTTTACAACAAATATGCATATAAGTTTGTTACTTAGTTACGGTCAAAGATGGACAGATACTAATGAGTTATTTCTAAACTTTAGTGTTTAGTACACATTATTAATATAGTTAATCGGGTCCTAACAGGGAGGAGAAATAATTATTAAATTTGGTACACAATTAGACTTTTTCTTCCTTCTTTTTCTTTGCACTATTCCACTTTATATGTGGACGGCTCTTCGAATTTTACATCGCCAGGACAATCCTCGGTTGTCGGGTCGGGCAATTTCCCTCGCGTTGAGACTTTTCATGCTAGTCCACTATGTATCTGGAGGTCGTCCTCTACCTCGGGTTCGGGTAGTTGTGAAGCTTTTTAAACTGCATATTTCTCGTCTCTTCATATTACATGGCGTAATACCACTTTAACCCTACCTCGGATGTATTCGATTCGTACTTTATCTAGTCTCGTGACTCCACCAGAATATAAAAATAATTTTATATAGGTATACAGGCAATTAATATGTTTTACTGAAGTCTCTCAGCTGTCTCCATGAATTGGGATACAAATAAAGAAACTATAGACTAAAGTTTGATTAGAACAGTTGTATGAATTAACATTTATTATTGAATTCATTCATTCATTATACAGGTATGTAAACCATAGACTAAAATATATATTTCTTTTCAGTTTTCGAATAAATCGTATAGAATCTCCAATAGTGCCGTGGACGGGAGACTGTGGTGAATCTTTGACATTATATGATGCACCCAGACCTGACGATGCACGGATTATAAAAACATTCTGCGACACATTCAGCAGACCAATGGAGAAACACGATTTTGTTTCTACAGGAAATGCTATGTTTGTGAGATTTGAAAGTAAAACTGGAAGCTATAGTGGGTGAGTATACAGCTAATATGTTAGTAATAAAAAAAATATAAATTTAAATTATGTAGCTACTTGTTAACAATACAGTAACATATTTAGGTATATAATAGTAATAAGGACTCAAGACAATCCACAGTCATCCCACTATCTAGTCCCAAGCTAAGCAGTGCTTGTGTTATGGATATAGACAACTGATACATATATGGTTTTATTCTATAAATACATATAATAATATACAAAGAAACACCTACATTGATACAAACCGTGCGAAGAATTAAACCCGCGACATTGGAAGTAAGGCGGTGGGCTAAAACGCTGCACCGAAGCGGTCATATATTCTCGTAATTTCAAACCATTTTTAAGGGTATAACTTTAATAATATAAAAATGTATCTAGACGACTTAAGAATGGCTGTTTCTCAATATTGACAACTACATTTCATGTTGAACGCAACTCGTAACATGCTGATACTTTATCTAAAAGAATAAAACAAATCAGTGGGCGATTGTACCTTTCCTAATTAATTCGGTTCGTTATTCATGTTTGTTTCCAAAGAGTTATAACCAAAGAGTCATTTTTAAATGAATATGTAATATACATATGAATGCAGAACTACAAAGATTTTTATATCAGCTAGAATTAAATTCACTTACTCCACGCTTTTAAAGAAGAAAAGTGTCTAAATGTAGAAATATGTTTCAGGTCGTCCCTCTATTACTGGGCTCATTATGATTTCTTCAACAACACTCGCTTCGGTGAGCCAGTAGCTGGAACAGCTTGCGATGAAGTCATAGCCTCATGGAAACAAAGAGCTGGAAGACTTCGCTCGCCTCTCAATACATTAGTGTACAAACAAGCACCAGTCGGCGAAGATGTCCATTGCTTATACAGATTTGTAACGGATAAGAGAATATACGCTAGAGTTATACTCACAATACTGAGTATCAATTTCAAGGTAAACTTACAGAAACTGATTTTTTTTTTAAACATTTTACGTCCTCCGTTTTGTATTTAGAGTGACGTCAATTTAGTTCACATTGCTCTCACCAAACATTTTTTTAAGTACCTTAACCATGAAAGGGTTTAAAAAAATAATCTTAAGCGGTACTCAAAATAAATTAGAATGAATTAATTTATATTTCTATGCGTTGCTATTAAAACTAAACGTATTAAAAACAACTGCTTTTAAAATTCAGTTACAAAATTTGATCCGAACAAACATAAAAAAACAAATCCTATTGTAATCCTTTAATACCATTAGTCTTATAAAATTTCGGTAAATGCCTATCATTCACTTTAATGGATTTCTTAACGATTGACACTTACAACATCAATTTGCGAATTCTCGAAAGCAATTTGTATAATGAAAAGTAATCTCAGAAAGTTTTAATTGATCTTTCTTTACAGGAACATCCATACACCCCGGTTTCTTGCCAAAACTGCTACGAGGATCGAGCGGACAAACTCATTATTTGGGAACCGCTTCCTGGAGGAAAGACAGCTAATTCCTCCTTGGGAGTTACCACTACACCCTTGCCACTACATTTGGCTGTGCAGAGATCTCTTGGATCTTGTCTCTGCGCTAAGCATGCTAACACAGTCTCCAGAGCAAGACCTTATAGAGTAGTGTCATCAGGAGAAACACTTAATCTACAATTAATAGTTGATAATGCCCATGCTGCAGCGTCGTACTTCAAGAATCCCTCGCCTCTTTTTGAGGCTCGATACGAGTTTGTACATGGTCCCTTATGTGGTCCAGCTGTACTGGCAGCGGCTTCAGATGGAGAAATAGTCTATCCACATTTAGAAGCCTTAGGTTATACAGAACCACCAAAGCGTATTCAATGTATTTGGGATTTGGAAATAGAGGAAAAAAGAGATATCTGGTTACACTTTGATAGCATTAAGTTTGCCTCTCGCCATTGTGAAGATGGAAACATACAGATTTATTTGCCAGGCAGGATTGAGCCTTATCTTTCGATATGTGGAGGTAACGTTTCTGAAACTGATAAGCTACCAATATTATCAGCCGGGGAACTTGGATTTGAAGCTCTAGACGATCCATTAGTTATAGAGAAGGACAAAACCAGATCAATTAGAATTGTATTTATAGGCAGTGCATCTCCAGCTCGCGCTGCTTTTAAAATAGCCTGGACTGGATTGTATCATCTACCTAAAAATTCAGATGGTACACTCATGACCTCTCGGTTAACTGATGGTGGGTTGAAATCAATGGATTCGGGACCAGGTTGTGATTTTATATGTCCTGGTGATGATGCACTTTGTATACCTGCTAGACTTATATGTAATGGCGTTGTAAATTGTCCAAATGTAACTTCAACTGAGAGAAAATTCTGGACTGCAGAAGAAAAGAAAGCAAGAGAAGCATATTCCGAAGATAGTTTACGTCGCTTGGGGTATTTGGATGCTTTAGGTGGCATACCTTTGGGTCAATTGAACGATGAAGCACCAGAATTGTGTGCAAGAGCATTAAATTCTGTTGGCGGGGAGTGGACAGCTCCGGCATTGGGGGCTGGTTTAGCGATTGCTTTAGGCGTTTGCGCGTTAGGAGCTGCTTGGCGTTTATGCTGCCGAAAGAGGTCACCAGATGAGGAGTCATTGGATTACTGACACGCGGCCCGCGGTGCCCATGCACCGCCGTCTCTTCATTCTCGTTCTACGTCACGGGATCTTCCTTTAGATTGGAGTCTACATTGACAGACAGTGTACTGAGCGCCCGGGCCCTATCTTGTTAACTATTGAACGATATTGTGATTATCAAAATGTTACTGTTTAAACAAATTCAAATGAGTCATTTAGTTTTGCATGCCGAAATTTTTGCTTCACAGCTATTGTTTTAATTGCGAGGGTTCGATATTAAAATGGCGCTCAATTATAAATTATGTAATTAATGTATATACCTATCCTATACCGAAATAATTAATGCTTTGGAGGAATGATCATAGGTTAGGACAAGGTGATAGTAGCCAAATAATTAAGCAATTATCATATAGGTAAATATAGTTGTAACGTTTTTTATAACATTTGCAAGTAACAGAACATACTAGTTACGAGAGAACAACCCAATGAATAGAAAAATGTAAAGCTTTTTTTTTACAAGTTTCTATTAGGACAATGGAAACCTGTAAAAATGTTACAAGTTTTAAAAATGTCATAGGTACTTTAAAACATTATGAATGTATAATATCACATTGTAATATAATGTACGTTGGAAGTTTGAATGCATTTTTAACTGCATTAATAAAGTGTTCATCTTGTTTTACAGCATCGCAGTTTCTGATGTGAGTTGTTTTAAAATTGGAAAGAATATATTAATCGGGTGGGTCTGCAGGGCTGAGATGTTATGGTACATATTCATGGACTATCATTTCATTCCATCATATTAGTAAGAAATCTAAGATTAAATACAAATTAAATTTTGTATCTACTTCATATGTTATTTATGTTATTCGATTCATTATTTTGTCTATTAGATTATTTTATTTATGTATTTAAATATTTTGCTCTCAGGTGGTCTTGTATACTTATTAGTTACATTGCTTTTTTTTCTAAAATAATGATTAAAAATATGGTATATTTTACATGTTAAGTTGTATGTGTACCTAAATTAAACAATACATTCCAAAATACTTCAAATATTCCCTTTACAAGACATAATTTATTGTAAACGATACTATTTCATCTAAATCCTTACTAGCTAAAGTTTCATCATTTGTTGCTATATTAGAGACCCTACCTCGAAATATCTCGACTGAAACATCTGATACGTCAACTTTGTTAATATAATGTAAATATATAATGAAGCTAAATTAAGAATGTTGATAGTGCTGATACGAGCGGCAGAGCGAAGATAGAGGTAATTGCACTCGATGCTGTCAGTACGTCGGGCGAACAGCTTTCGTTAGCTAGATGACGTCTATAATCGATGGCGGCATGTGATAAGCCAGAATCGCCATTGTCCGCCATTTGCACAGATCCTAACTATCTCTGTTAGCGTTCCTCGTCGAGGACAAAGTTAGTTTCATTATGTTCATACAGAGGGAATATATATAGATAATCAAGGACCTTGAAATTAGAAATATGTGTATAAAAAATATGGGTTTTGGTGAACCGGTGGTTGTGGTTGGTGAATTGGTTTTTAATTAAAATTTTGCATCAATATCAATGCAAAATTTTAATTAAAAACCAATTCATTCATGATGGACATTTTAGTCAGTCTATCGTATATACCGATACATGATAAATCCTTGCGTAACTTCTTTGTTTTGTGATTTTGATAAATTTATTAGTTTATACTGAAAGTCTAAGAATTAGCTATTTGTTGATTCTATTCATTTAGACACGCTCGGCAGTTTAACGTTTTAGCACACCGCTGCACCGATGATGGCAGGTTCGATTCCTCGCACGGTACAAACATTTGTATTCACGAGTATGACTGTTTGTATTGGTCTAGTGTTTTCCATGTCCATACTATCAGATACATACCATCAGTTGTCTAGTATTCATAACGCCCTGCTAGAATTTATCTTAAACTTTGATTATACGGTTTCGAATGATGATCTGTCTGATCTTTAGAGTTACTGTCAAATTATCAGTCAAATAAATTTTGAATTACAAAAAAGACACATTAAAAGTATAAGTCGAAATGCAATTAGATCAAGCCAAATAAAAGTCTGTATACACCGGAAATGACAAAATTTTTAGTAGATACTAAAATTTTTGGGGTTTTGGATAATTTAAGTGTGTTTAGTACCAGACTGTCGAGACTAGGAACTGTGGGAATGGCAATTTAGCTGGAGTCAATTTTAAATGGCCATAGTCAACAGATACTACATTTGCTTCTGCCTTTGCTCAAAGTTTGCTCGTGTGAATGCACTTAGTATATAAATTCAGTGGTCTCTTGGGAGTAAATTGAGACTACCGTAAGAACGGAGAACGCTATTGTAAATTTGTTTTCAATTTACAAGGGATCTTGGATTACTTAATTTTAAGGCGAATTAAGCACGATTATTAGCAGTATAGTTGTATATTTGCAATAATTTGTGTATTTTTTAACTGATGGTTATTTATGCACTGTTAGTAGATGCCTTTATGAAACCAGCTATAGACAAAAAGTAAACAAGTATTATTAACGTTAAGGCTGTATGTCCTTTATCCCTCTGCATACGAAACGTGTTACCATGAAAATTTTCTACAAGAACTACATTAAACTCGAAGAAATTACCAAAAAGGTAACTAATATCAACGTTACACAATAGTCTGTTTTTCTTTGTTTTGTTTTAGAACTACACGTAACTAAAAGATTTGATTATCACCAAAAAGGACATTTAGGTCATTTATATAAACAGTCCAAGACAAAATGGGAACTTAAAAAATATTTGCAATATATTTGTCAGAAATTGCTGAATTCATTTATTGACATTTTCATTAGTTAACTTATAGCAAACTTGTCATATTGCATTTAATTGAATTGTTGCGAAAAATACCAGTTATTCTCAATGTTAAAGTTACTTCGTTAGTACCTATTTATTACAATTAATCTAAAGTGATATCACTTTTGTAAATCCTTAATTAATTAATTATTAGGTACATTTAACTTATCAATAGCCTCTTTGCATTGGCCTCATTAATGCCAATGATCACTAAAAAATTCAACTCAAGTAAATCTTCCATTATTTACAACCAAATGTATGAAGTTTATATTATAGAATGCAATTCTCAAAAGTGTAGATGTAAATCCTTTAGTTGAATTCATCGATTTCTTTGCTTTACTTTTCTACTCGTGCCGTAGTTATTTCCAATTTCATTTTAAATGTATGGTAATTTATTTTGTATAAATGAATATATTTATTAAATACTATTTTCATAATAAACAAATTATGTTTTCGTTCTATATTTGCTGTTACTAGTTCTACAATATCGCACACTTAATGTCAAAATGTATTAACTCCTAAAATACAGATTTTGTAACTTCGACCTTAAAGCAGAACTATATAGCTGATATTCCGAAATGCAGTTTTAGCGGTGATATATTTTATATATTCGACAAAACTGCTCTAGCTAGAAACTCGTGTAATTTGTGTTTCAATACACGGGACGCATGAAATATTGTCAACTGAAGCGTTATCTGTATTTGCAATTCGCATACAAACATTTTATGTACACTATTTGAGTTTTAATACTTTATTTGACCATCAGGAATGTTAAAAAATAATAATATATTTTGTACAAAAAATTGAATTGTTTTATTTTATTGTATAAGTATTTAGCTATGGCTATAGGTGTTAGAAAATAATTTAATTGTAGCAAACAACAATATAATAATAGTATTTTACATTCATAATTTTAAGCCAGAGGGACAGTGGGACACTAATTAGCCTAATCATGCTACATTTTTTTATACCAGATAGAATATTCAAAGGTTCTTATGGATGAATATAGAATTTTGCACCCACCAGTGATAAAGCAGGCGGATGCATCAGGGTGGAATGGAGAGGAATTAAGTCAGTTAAGCCATCATGCTGAATAGATGTAGAATTAATCACAATGATATCTTCCTGGAAAATTTGTCGCCCTGGGCTGACCTGACCTCATGGTCATCTTATCATCCTTCACTGGTGGCTTGCCAGCTTAACCGTTAGTGCAGGTGGGTGCACCATTACACTATTATACACAAGTAAAATAAAACCTCCCCCTCTTATCAGAACTATTATATTTATGCTAGCAAGGGGGCAATTATTTCTCAGTTTCGACAACCTCCTTCTTATTAGAGGCATTGTTAACTAATATCTTTGGAGGCTATTTCTTGGAAACATGGTGCTGACATGGTGCATTTCTAACAATAGGGCAACCATTCCTCAGTTTTGACAACCTCCTCTCCCCTATCAGAGGCATTGTTACCTATCGACATTCTGTTGAAAGCAACACTTGATATGCTCATATCGTGCTGGGTATATTTGAAACTAAGCTACTAAAATCACAAGGGCATAAAGTTCCAAAACCAGCTAAAGTTGGATATATTCTAAACAGCAAATGGAAATATTTATATATATTTTATATAATACCTAGATAGCAAAACTGAGACTACTACAAAATAGTTATATTCATAAATAGAAATTGAAATAATCTTTATTCAAATAAACTCAATTCAAGCACTTTTGAATAATCATAGTTTTTTATTCTACCACTCATTCGTAACGCAGACTCATTACAAGAAGAACGAGCAAGAAACTTGTGTGTTGCTCTTTTGAATAAATGATATTTTAAATAAATAAATACACAGTAAGAGGCATACGATAACCAATAAATACATCGTCAGGGTTCGGTTCCCGCACAATACATATGAAGATACCCTGAAGATTGGTTTGTAAGAACATAAGAGAAATAGTTACTACTACGCATGTCTGAAAGTATAGTACAAAATTTAGAAGTATGTAATAAAAATAATATGGTATAATTGTTTACTCGGAAAATCGTGCATAACGTTATATACCTTCACAACTAATTCCTGATAGGGCAACCAGCTACTGACGTAACAGTGAACAAGTATATATATATATATAAGTATTAACTTATGACAATAAAATAAAACATAAGGAAATAAAATGTTGGAACATAAATACAGTACACAAAAGGTTGGTCTAAAAATATATTCACAATAGACACATTTCGCTGAACATTTATATTTCGAATATATATGTATTTATTATATATTTGTTCTATGACACCACTTCTTAATGACACTCCACAGATAAAAAGCCTGCATGGTTATCTTTAACTCTCCAATTTCCCCCGCCAATTTTGGCTGTTAGCTTTACAATTTGTGTAAAGAAAAATAAAGCCCATTTCGCTGAGTATTTTTATTTTGAATATATTCGTAATATTGGTGTAGAACGAACTTACCGACGTCTCTCGTTTAATTTAGTTATCGGTGTTTCCATTACCGGTGAGTCATTAAGAAATGTGAACTGACATACGAAAATTTTTTAGATACTGTCTTATTTTTTAGGTCTGATAGATTCGACCTTCTGAGAATACAACTAAAATTGTAAACCGCTAGGTTTTGTCCATTGCCAAAATATACGCATAAAAAATCTAATCCAATAACTTTAATATATAGTAGGTAATATAAATTATAGTAATATTATACGAGAATCGAATATAATCTTGACTGAAAAATAAATGTATTTATTTTTAAACGAGATTTGCTATTATGTTTAGAATTTGATTTATTTTCCCAACCAATAATAGGCGTATTGATATCCCATTTTCCTAACCAATGTTCAGAAAATCATAAATCCATATCCGTAGCACTTAGAATCCATGTTACGATGCCATTTTTCATGTCGTAAGCTGCTTGCGTCTATCGTATTATTACAGCGGACTATCCATGTTTTCGAACGGTGGGTAAATATGGAGCA